CCCTATTCTACTTGTCAAGGGCCCTAAACCCTACACCCTAAAGCTAATTCTAAGGCCCCTATATGTTTATGTCGGGCCTCCTTCCTTTAAAGGAGCCCTATTCTCATTGTCAAGGGCCCTATACCCTAAACCCTAAGCCCTAAACCCTAAAGGAGCCCTATTCTAATTGTCAAGGGCCCTATACCCTAAACCCTAAACCCTGAACCCTGAAACCTAAACCCTAAAGGAGCCCTATTCTAATTGTCAAGGGCCCTAAACCCTAAACCCTAGACCCTAAAAGGAGCCCTATTCTACTTGTCAAGGGCCCTATACCCTAAACCTTAAAGCTAATTCTAAGGCCCCTATATGTTTAAGTCGGGCCTCCTTCCTTTAAAGGGGCCCTATTCTCATTGTCAAGGGCCCTATATTACATCGCCGGCGGCACCTCAGCGATCGCGCCGGCGCCCGTATCTTCGCAGCCTTTCGGCGCGGGTTCCCGCATGGCCCGGGGTTTAGGGTTTAGGGGTTTAGGGTTTCGGGTTTAGGGGTTTAGGGGTTTAGGGGTTTAGGGTTTAGGGTTTAGGGTTTAGGGTTTAGGGATGTGAGTCCTCCTTTCTTTGTGGGCTCTTAGACTGGAATATGCTGCGTGTTCCCAACATCTTCCATCCAGCGGCATCCGGGACAAGCAGCGGCATCTGTTTCTTGACTCCTTTAAGTGGCAGGAGTGCTCTTCTTACATGTGTGATGGGTTGTTCTTCGCTGTTCCTGTGTGGTGGGGCTGCTTTTGTGCTGCGTGCGGTGGTTTCTTCTGCTGGGTGTGGCGGCGATTTCTCCATGGTGCAGCAGCATCAGTGCCGTCATCATTATATATATATATATATATATACATATATATATATATATAATGTATATATATATATATATATACACCATCATTATATACCATGTTGCAGGTGTCTGCAAAGTCATGGTCATCATCACCGTCGCCAGCATCTTGTAGACCTCGCCGTGCTAAACTCCATGTCCCCCACTAACGACACCCGTGCAGGGATGCATCAGGGACGTTTGTTGTGGCCAGACGTTTATGGCGGCTGACCCGTTGGCGTTTACCGCTTGGCGGGAACATGATGATAATTTCATGATCGTCGTCATCATCTTCATTCGCATTATTGATAAACACGAAATCATATTTATCGTCATCATCGTCGCAGCCGTACAATTCAACACCATCATCATCAACATCATCAGCATCATCAACGTCATCATCATGGCTGCCAGGCTACCATCTTCATCGTATTAATCGTCGTCGCCCGCTGTGATTATCATTATGATTATTATCATCGTCGTCATCAACGTCACCATCATCACCATCACAATCGTTGTCACCATCATCATCATCATCATCGTCATCATCATCATCATCATCATCATCATCATCATCATCGAATCATCATCACCATAGTCATCATCATCGTCGTGAGCAGCATAATCTTGGTCTTCGTCTTCATCTTCATATTCGTCATCATCACCATCACCATCACCATCATCATCTTCTTCACTATCGTCACTACCATAGCCATAATCAGTATCGTCTTTAATATCAGCAGCATCGACAACAATATTATCGTGGTCATAAACCTCTCATTGTACCCAATATCAGCCCCTTATGATGAAGCCCAATAAGGTAGGGATATCCCCGCAAAATGCTTAAGCTGACGTGCTGTTTGGGTCCCTTTTTGGGTCCTAAGCCTACACACCAAACACCAAACTCTCTGAATTCCTGGCACTCTAAACCCTAAACCCTGAATAAACCCTAAACCCTAAAGCCCTAAACCCCTAAACCCTAAAACCCTAAACTCTCCCAATTCCTGGCACCCTAAACGCCAAGCCGCGGTTCTCGCGCAAGGTCAGCGCCCTGAGCTGGCAACCAGCTCCCAAGGCCTCTTCGGAAGGGTAGGGTTTAGGGTTTAGGG